TATAAAACCGCCCTGGCTAGTTTGGCTCAGCGGTTGAGTGTCAGCCTGCGGACCAGAGAGTCCTGGGTTCGGTTCCCACTAGGGACACATACCACACACACACACACACAAATTACATAAGCACCAAATAGACTGTTTTCACTTAGTTTAGTCAATTTGGTAAAATGTACTTGGAAACAGGAGGTCTATGTTTTAACACCCACTGAGTCACTTGGTATGTAATTTTGGACCATAATAGCCTTATCTATAGATTGGGATATTTTATTTGAACACCAGCACTGGAGCATGGCGTTTTTCTTGTTTTACATTTCACATCTTAAATTTGTTTAATAATATTGAATTAATATAGTTGAATATTAATTCAAGTATATATACTTGAATATACTTGAATACATTAATATACTTGAATAAAAATGAAATAATTGCTTTTCTTTTGCTAATGACTAGTATACTTTGATTATCTTATTAACCTTATGTTAGACTTGAAGTTACTTAAAAAAAATTGTTTTTCTTTATTGATTTTACAGAGAGGAAGGAAGAGGAAGAGACAGAAACATCAATGAAAGATAACATCAACTGGCCGCCACCTGCATGTCCCACACTGGGATCAGGCCCACAATCTGGGAATGTGCTCTGACTGGGAACTGAACAGGCGACCTCTTGATGCATGGGTCTACGCTCAACCACTGAGCTACACCAGCTGGGTTGAAGTTATTATTTTAAAAGTTACTTTGGGCCATTTGTCTGCTCCCTTTACTATTAAATACATCTCATTGTATATACTCAAAGGCAGTTGTTTTCCTACCACGACCTTTCTCCTCCTACTTTGCTCCCATCATAGATTTTGGGGCAGTATGTATTTGCTCACCAGGGAAAAAAAGAAAGTGCCTTGAAAATGTGGGCTTAAAGACAGATCTTCCTCTATTTTTTTGCTATAGCTTTCCCAATAAAAAAATATTCTCTGCTAACTGCTTTGTTATGTACACAAGTAAGTAAGTGTCTGTTTGTTCAAGTTACACTTCAGATTTCTCTTCCAGTTTCCATTAGCCCCCAGAAAATTTTAGTAGTGATTCTGAGGAATCATGGAGGACAATGATTACTGGCTTGAGAGGCATTCAGATCCTGTCTCTATCACTTACACGTTAAGTGACTTTGGGCTAGTGACCTAACTTCTCTAAACTTCAATTTTCTCACATGCAAAATGAAAGTGTTAATACCTACAACACCAAGTTAGAATTAAGTTAGTCAAATGGGAATTGTAATGATGGCTAGATGTGGTTTGAATGTGAATATAATTTACAAAATAAGGATACCACACCACTGAATAAAAGTAGTTTTTGAGCTGATTCAAATTAGAGGCTAGTTTGATTTCTAGGGTCCTTAAAAAACCAAATTTTCCCAGATGGGACCAAATATAAAGGCTCTGAATTCCTCCATGCTCCAACAGATACCAATTCTATGGTATAGAAACACATATTAAAAGCAATAACCAAAGTGAATAATTTCAATTAGCCAAAAAATTTGTTGGTGATACTGTGATGAAAACAACACATTCATAAATTGCTGGTGGCATCAAAATTTAATCCACCCTTTTAGGAAAATAATATAGCTATTGTACAGATAACTATATAATACCCATACTCTTTGAACCAATATCCTGTTCATAACATTATATCCTAAGAAATAATTTAAACGAGGAAAATAGCTATGGTTTTATTTAATAGTGCCTGGTGCATAAAAGGCACTCAAGTATTTCTTCAACTGAATACCTTTATTTGTACTAACTTCTTCAAATCACTGCCCTTGGTTCCTTTCCATTAAGATTTATCTATTTTCATCATCTGGGGTTAATTTTAGAATCAAACTTTGTCTAGTCTCTGTTCTTCCATCTTCTTCAGTAACTTCACTGTTGACTGCTATTGGGCTCCCAATATCAGGTAAGATGATATTTTCACCCTCTGAATTCAGTTGACTGTCACACAGAAACTAATTTGAGCATATACTCTATCCTTGACATGATTTAAAAAATAAAAATCCGAGGCTTCCTTCAAGATCCTAAGATATTTTCCTTTGTCAACACTCTTTTAGTATGAACATTCATCTCATTGCCTGCTTTATTAAGACAAGATAGCCAGAAACCTTCACGTCCATCCTCACCAGATCCTCAACATACTTTTAGTCCTGTACCTAGGCACTTATATTTCCCTCTAGGATCTGAGGAAGAATTACCACTTCCTTGCTTTCACATTGAATGTTAGGCTTAACATTTAAACAGCTGTAGAAGAATGGCTTGAATATCTTCCTATAATAATTTAAGTGACTCCTTAACCTTTCCTTACAACTTTTAAAGGAATCAGGGTGGTAGGGACACATACCATGCATGTGTCAATGAAAAGGGCTGAATATTTAACACATGGGCTTGTATGGTCTGGAGAAAAATTAGGCTGGAATATTTGAACTAGGTTTAGAATGCCTTAGAGATCAAGACCAAGAAAGAGAAAGTTTAGGGCTGCTTCCTGACCCAATTTGAACAGTGATCATACCATAGATCTTAGGAATACCAAGAGAGCAAAATTACAGTTTTAATTTGGAAATCAGAGTAAACTCCAAGAGAATTTTGATATTTGTTTGTATTTACTGATGTATTCCAAGTCTTTAGAACAGTGATTAGCACATAGTAGGCTTTCAACTTTTGTTGAAATAATGAAGAGTCATGTAAGAGGTATTCTAATTTAAGGCCCTGTAATAAAGACTGTAGACTAGTAAGTTTAAAAACCATTCAAGTTGTTAGAATACTCTCTTTAACACTTGACTTCATGGCAAAAACTATTAAACCAACAAACAAAAAGCAATAGTTGTAAAACATTAGCATGACTTTACAAAGAACAGCAGACAATAAGACAACACGTTTTCTAGCACTCTGTGGTGTGAGCAGTGTATTCAATGACTGCTTTTCTTCTAATTTTGACAGTATGTTTCTATTAGAACATGAAAAGAAAATTACAACAAAGAGCATTAAAAAAGAAGCTTTTGGAAGATAGCAAGCTTCTCCACAGAAACACTTTTTCCATGGTCATTCCTTCTATTTTTCATAAGCCTTTCTAATTTTTTTTTTTTTTTTGATGGAAACAACTGCCACTTATCACAAACATCTTCTCTCAGATATGTGCTTTATATATTGCTTTCTTCTGAACAGACAGTTCCTCAAGCGGTTCAAGTCTTTTAGCCACAGCAATTTTTCTCTCTTTTATGTGCATTTCTTCCATGAAATAACATAGAAACCAATTTAAAACTCTCCTTTGCTTCCCAGAGTTTCCAAAAGGCAATGCAAATATCTCCCAGTCAATATTTTAATTATCTTTTCTGTCTTTTTAGTCAGCTCCATAACCTTTACTTATTTCAATAACTCCTAATATTATAGTTTAATTTGTCAGAATGATCACATTTTCTTCCATATTACACTAATAAAGAAGAGCGTGAACACATTCTCTTTAATCAATTAGTTAATATTTGCTTGAGGTTGTCTACATGTCCCTACCTTGTAATAACAACATACATTATTTTGTCTCACCTTTAAAACTACTGCAGAAATTTTGTGGTCTTTAAAAAGATAATTCATTGATTTTAGGGTATGAGATCTTTCACGTCTACAGAAGGTTAAAACATACATTTTTCCCTTTACTGTAACATTTAGTTTAAAACATATTTTCTAATACTCTAAACCAAATAACTTTTTAAAGGAACTAGAATTAAAACTATTGCAAATTCTGAGGATAGATTAGATAAGAATCCAAAATGAGAAAATGCGCAGGCTTTATTCTTTTAAACATCCTTCAAAGACACTGCAGTTCACTTGATAGATGTTCTAAAATTACTGAAGTTGTTGAGATTCCCTAAGCTCTATATTGATTGATTCCTTCAGTATACACCGACCCACCCCAAGTATTGTGGTACTTGAAAACAGAAGCCAAGGAATCCAAATTGTTTAGTGTTTATTACCAATTTGCACATAGTTTCTTATAAAACACTAATATAGAAAAAATAGATTTATTCATCTTTTGTCCTTTGTGAGCCAATTCCACCCCCCACACATATAAAATCTGAGCTGAATGTCATTATCTTTGCACCATGCTTTAAAACTACAAAAACAGATACCATTTTGAACCTATCTGAATTTAATTAAATTACAAAGAGGGAAAATGTACTAGTCTAATTTTCACAAATGCTGCATGTTACATGTAAGAATTCTTAAGGCTGAGGAAGTTCTCAGGCACAGGGCAGAACCTGTAGCCTAAAATTAACAGGTTTAAGAATTTAAGATGCCAATCATATTAGTTAAGGTAATACCATATATATGAGTACTTCAGTATCATACTTGCATTCTGGTAAGGTTAATATGCCTCATAATTTATGTATAATATCGACTGCTGTAATAAACCGTGGCTACAGACTTCCCTTACCATGTCAAGACAGGGACACACACTCGGTCAGCGCTGGACGGTGTAAGGAGCAGAGGTGGGCAATTATGAGTCACACAAGAAAGTGTGTAATCTTGCAGAGACGAGTAGAGAATTTTAACTTGGGGTTTAGAATTCTTTGAAGGACGCATTAAAAGTTTTTTGTTGAGGAGGATACCATCTTGCATGTTGAAATAACCCTCACATAAATTCTGACTGGAGGTGGACACTAGCAACACAAATTGGTGTAAGAACCAAACTTTCCCCATAAAACACAATCCAAAAACTTTAAAGCATGGTCTGGGCGCCCCAGCCGCCACAGGAAGTGGGTTGGACACCCTAAACCATCACCTTCCCCCCACAGGAAGTGAATTGTCCCCCCACCCCACCCCACCCCAGGACTACCTTCCTCCCCTCCCCCAAGCGGAAGTGAGGCGCCTCCATTAAGTTGGCCTCAAACCCAGACAAACCAATTAACAACAGCAAAAGAGGGTGAAGGGCACCTCCACTATGGCCACCCCCAAGCTTTCCTTGCTTACTGACCTGCTGACGATAGGGGCAGGCAGGGGCCTGAGGCTAAAGAAACTGCCTGTACAGAGCACAATTCTCTGAGCCTCTCAATCGCATTCACTCTTCTTCGGCGTCTCACAGCTTGAGAAAAATTCCTCCGCAGTACTTTATTATTATGTCCTTTCTTTTCGTTTACCTTATTGGCTTAAACACATTCCCATAGGCAACTTCTGTTATCACAATAACACTTAAAGTTGCTTTGGTGAGAAGAAAAATGAAATATTTTGCCCTATACGTTCACAAAAAATGAAGGGATTATTTCGTTCAAATGCGGAAAAGGCTTACGTCATTACGCAAGTAAAACTCACTGTCGCGGAGGTTTCTGGGAGATGTAGTGTTTTTAATTGCTATGGTCAGCAGGCAGTACTGGGACTTAAATTGGCAATAATTGTATACTAGCACCCTTGAACATACAAATTCTGTATTCGACGGCGGGCTGACGGAGGGGTTCTGGTGCTAAATGGCTCAATACCTCACGCACTTATTTGAACTGAAATTTCCCTTCAGGCCGGTTCCGGGGTCTGGTCGTCCCGCCCTCCTGAGCCAATCAGGGGCCCTCTAGGCCTCGTTTTATTGATGTAGGAACGTGAGAGGTGGAGCACAATGACTCCTTCCGCGGGATTAAGGTGCGACCAGGGGCCGTTCGCGCGCGTGCTCGCTTCTCCAGGAGCTCGCCACTGAGAGCGCGCGCGGATGGGCGGTACGCGGGACTGCGAGGAGGCGGGCAGGCAGACGGCGACGGGCGGCCGGGAGCGCGCGGTGGACTCGGTGGTGACGAGTAGTTAGTTACTTGTCAGTTGCTCGGCGACTGTGGCCGCGGTGACCAAGAAGGGAACGGGACGGCCGGCCATGGTGGTCACCGCGGCAGCGTGTGCGCTCCTCAGGTAACGGTGGCAGGGCCGCCCGTGACCACTCCAGTCCCTTCTCCTCTGGTGCCGGCATGTGGGGCCTGGATTGTCGCGGGGTGAGAGCGCTGACCCGGGGAAATCCGGACGGGGCGGCGCGGGCTGGGGCAGTTGGCCCTGGTGTAGCCTTTCCGGCTCTGGCCACTCCCGCGCCCCTCTGGTTTCGGGCCCGCCGGCACAGTGCACCCCCTCGACCTCTCCGCCGGCCCAGCTCCCTCTTCCGCCTCCGCCTTCTCCTCCGGCGGCGGTCCGGGTAGTTCGGTGCCCCCGCAGAGGAGGGAAAGTTGGGACCTAGCGCCGTAGGACGCCCCCGGGCGCGGCCAGGAGGCTGCTGGGGAAAGCGAAGGCTGGAGGAGCTGGACGCTAGGAGGCTGGGGCAGGAAGTGTTCCTCTCGCTCTTGCTGGTCTACTCGGACATCCCGCTCCAAACCCGGGAGCACCCGGCACAACCTTGCCAGCAGCGCCATAAAGATATCCGGTAGCTCTTTGGCTGTTCACTTCGGGCTGAGGCTTGTGAGCCTCTAAGGTACGGGTTACCTCGGTTGCTTGGGGATTTCGAATTGTTTCGGTTGGTCATTTTGTTTCTACTTTGCCCTTTGATTTCTCCGTTCTTGCAACTTTCGTTAGGTCCCGCGATGAGGCTTGCGGTCTGAACACCCTTCCCTATCCTCCCCGTCGTTTGCACAACCCGCCTGAGAGCTTGATTTCATTTTTCTTCCTTCTACTACGTTAAAGACTGCCTAGAACAACAGGAAACAGGAGCCCTCCCATCTTTAAATGTTACTTTCTTGCAATCCGTTGTTATTTTTAAGTCCAAGTGTAGAAATTTGAGAGCTGTGGCATGGAGTTATTGGAAGGAAAATTAGGTTTCATCTTTATTGGACTTGCTGTAGAAAACATAATACATTTTTATTCTGTCTTTGTTAAATGTAAGCACATACGTTGAATTAAATATTTGGAGACTTGCATAAAAGGCTATTTTTTAGATCATTGGATGATGCTGTGTCAATAGCTTTTTACCTGAATTGGGATTGACTTGAGGATTCTGTTGGGGCCTACCTACTGATTTTTGTTTAACCGCAACGTCTCTTTTCCTGATAAATGAAATGATGTAGTAATGTGTGTTGTTGGAGAACCCATACTCTCTGTAGTGAGGTAGTGAAAAATGAGAATTATCCACAGGGTAAATCTTTCCATGAACAATCTTGGATACCCGCTTCATGATGGCTTCTCCTGTAATCTCAGAGCATTTCTAGGTAGCTCAATTCACTGACTACCTTAATTACTTTCTGAAGTGCCTGGCACTTCTCTTTGGTGACTCGTTTAGTAAACTCTAATGGCAAGTATGTCTCATTTTCTTGGCTTCAAATATGGAGTTATAGCCGTAGCCCAGAAATTAATGGAAGAATTCATACCATTGCTGGTAAGTTTTGACTGTGACCAATGCACAAGTTATGTGAAAAACATACATCTTTCTGTAGCTGTCAGAGGGGAAGAGGAGGGAATGTTTTATCATGTCTTTATTTTGGAGACTAACATGACTATATTAAGTGGGAAAAAAATGTCATATTATTTTCTTTAAGGTTTTTAAATTTATGACCTTCCTCTCCATTCCCTAGACCCCGTTTAGGGGTTAATATTTTTGTGTGTCGGGGTTCCAGGGTGGGAAGAAAAGTGTTTTGGTGAAAGGAAAAGTTAATATTGTTTTGAACAATGATACTGTGACTGTTCATTTTATCCAGTGATAGTACAGAGAAACTTCCTCAATAAATTTTGTACACCATTAACATTCTATTCTGTTAGAATTTATTGTTAATAGTCTACCCTGAGGACCATAAAGAAATAATGCCACTTAATAACTGTTCCTGACAATCACATTAAAAAATTGTTCTTGGAATCCTGACCTGTGCCGCTCAGTCGATTGGAGCATTGTCCTGTGCACCGGAAGGTCGAGAGATGGTTTCTCCATCAGGGCCCATATCTAGGTTTCCTGTTCATTCCCAGTTGGTTCGTGGATGGGAGACAACCAATCCATGTATCTCTCTCACACTGATATTTCTCTTTTCTCCCCTCCCCCTTCCCTCTCTAAAATCAATTTAAAAAAATTGTTCCCTTTATGTTATATGTGTACTTACATAAACATTTATTTTTGCACGTTTATAATAATGTGAATATTTAAGTCTGAGAGCTTAAAAACTTTTATTTGCTTATTTGCATACATGTTATTTATTTTTTTAATTTTATTTATTTATTTTTTATCCTCGAGGACATTTTTGCATCCATCTTCAGACAGAGCAGGAAGGGGAGAGGGAGGAAGAGAGAGAGAGAAACACATTGAGTGGTTGCCACCTACATGACCCCAACCAGGGCCGGGACAAACTGCAACCGAAGTAGGTGCCCTTAGCGGGAACTGAACCGTGGTCTCTCTGGACTGCAGGCCAGCGCTCTAACCGCTGAGCCAAACTGGCCAGGGCGCATACATGTTTTTTAATATCTAGCATTGTCAAACAGCATTTGCCAAATAAACATCAGCCATAAATTCATGCTCTGGCATACTTCATATAACAACTCTTCTAAATAAGCATTTTTCATGGCAGAGATTTGTTTTTAACTGTAATAATGTGCTATTTAAGTGAAACAGGTGCTGGGCTGTAGCTGTTTGTGTCAAAACCTGCCAAATCATACTCTTTTGTTGAATGGATTAAATAATTTAGGAATCAGACTGTGGCCCTTGCTGTGCCAAGTGTGAGTTCACGGCTCCTGATCACTGTAAGAGGCATGTGTGTGTGTGATGAGTTTTATCACATTGCTGTCTCTGTTATAATTCCTACTTCCTACCATCACTCGAGTCTTTTCATTACTAGAGAGCTCCTGGGAAAGTCTAGGCTCCTTGGGGCGGGCGAGTTGGGCACTGGGGTGGGTCTGGGGGTGGAGGGAGGCACTGCAATAATCTCAACATTAAAATGTTTTAATTTAAAAAAAAAGGGAAAGTTTAGGCTCCTTCATTGTTGGTTTGTCTTGCAGAAATTCTAGTAACTTTCAGGCCAGGAATAGATAGTTCATATTTGTTTGACAAATATATGAGTGTCTTTTAAGTGGTAGACATGGTGGTAGGCCCCAAGTATATGTAGAATGATATCCCTTTTTGCAAGGAGCATACAGTTTAGGAGAAGATTGCTAATACTTACAACGTGCTGTGTTATATGACAGGGATATACAAAATCTTATGGGTGGAAGCAGAGATGGAGAGGGTGGTTGACCAAGACTGGGATGTTGGGGCCGGGGAGTGTCCTGAAGTACATCTTAGTGGGTTACTTGAATTAATCTTCAAATATAGATAGGACTTATCTAGGTTCAGAAAAGGGGAAAGGACAGTTTAGACCAGTGCTGTCTTATAAATATATAATGAGTGAAATGTAAAGTCACATATCTATTTAAACATTTTTTAGTAACCACATTAAAAAACTAAAAAGTGAAATTAATTTTAATAATACATTTTATTTAACCTGATATGTCCAAAATATTATCATTTCAACATGTAATCAATATAAGAAAGTATTATTGAGATATTTGATATTCCTTTTTTAATACTAAATCCTCAATATGGTATGTATTTTACCTTTATACCACATCTTAGTTTTGACTAGTCACATTCAAGTACCAGCTGCTGAGTAGCCATAGGTGGACAGCACAGTTTTAGAACAGGGGCTGATGAAGTGGTAAGAAAGCAAATCACTGATGCTTTATGAACCAAGCTAAGGAGCTTTAACTTTATCTCGAAGGCTGTGAAATTTAGTGGGAGAAAAATAATGCTGTGATAGAATCAACTTTGTGTTTTTGACCTATCATCTTGTTTGTGAAGTGAATGCTGGATTAGAGAAACACAGAACTGGAAGCAAGACCAGTTAGGAAGCGATTCATGGTGAGAAATGATGAGGAATGTAGAAGAGGGGGTGGAAGTATGAGAGATTTAGGAAGTATTGTCAACATGACATGATAAATAATCAGATTATGGAGTTCAGCAAGATTGAAAATTTAGAGGGGATTTCCACATTTCTGTTGTGAGCTGCTGAATGGGGCAGGCAATTGAGAAGAAGCCAACTATCTATGCCAGGCAGACCAAAGATGAAAAAAGGAAACTATGAATGATATTTGGCAACTGAAGGAGAAGACTATTTCAAGGACTAGGAGTGGTCAACATTGTGTCCTGTCATGAAAGGGCCAAGTATGATAAAGACCAAATAAAATTGCTGAGATTTGATTATGATGTCATTTGAAGGGGTTGAAGAGTGAATAACAAGCTGGGAGTGTAGCTAATTGAGAGGGATACAATATTTTCAACAAAAGACTGAAGAAGAAGTATAGGTGGAGGGAGGGAGATACAGATTTCAAGAAGTTGACTCCCTTTTTCCCTTTTTAAATTAAGAGGGTTTGAGGCATATTTATGTGGGATTGGAAAGAACCCAAGGAGGGGAGAAACTGAATCAGTGGAGTGGGAGAGTGAGAGGGGAGAGGGGTAAAGAGAGGTGATTGATGGAGCTGAGAATTTGGAGGCAATAGGAGGGGATAGGATCCAATGTATAGGTAGAGAAATTGGCCTTGGATAGGAGGTAGTTTTTCTTTTCCAGAGAGCAGAAACGAAGGAGATGAAGTTGGGGGTAGTGTACACAAGTTTGTAACTGGTGGACAGAAAGGAGAATGAGTTGATGACATGTCTTCTGTCATTTTTGAGTACCTGCTAAGAGTGAAGGGGGGCATGGTAGAATAGGGAGTCTTAAAAAGAGTATGCTTTCAAGGGAATGGGGTGGGGGAGAGGCATATAGACCACATGCCTAGAAACATAAAAAAAAAAGGTTTTTAGGCAGCATGAGGATCCATTTGAGGTTGTAGACCTTGGATTTGTAGGAGTACCGACTTGCATGGTTTGATTTTCCTCTAGCAGTGATCACCCTGGGAATAACGGAAGAAACTCACAGGAATTCCTAAGATAGGTATTATTACTCCTTGATTGTAAGATGAACAGCTGGAGTTCAAATACTGGTGCTTCAGTTCCAGGGCCCAGGCCGTTACCCACTGCTTTGTAGATGTCTGCTTGGTAGAGATATTTGGAGTACAGTTGGTTGAAGGAATTAGTGATATTGAAGATTGTACCTGAAGTGAAGAACTGTGGAGTCCATTCTGAATCATGAGCAGGAGGCTTGGAAGGGGTGATTCAATTGGAAGAAAATGAAGGGCATAAAAGGTTAATGTAAAGCCAAAGAGCTTGCTTGTGAGGAGGAAGCAATAATATTAGCTTTTATTTATGGAATATACTTATACTACCTTATTTCTAATCATAACACCAACTCTATTACTACCTTATTTCTAATCATAACACCAGCTCTACTAGTTTTTTAGCCTTTCCTTTGTTATTATCCTTCAGGTGAAGAAACTGAACGTTCTAGGTGCAGAAGTTACAGTAGTGAACCAAACAGACAATAATCCCTGTCCTTGTGGATCTTACATTTTAAAGAGGGTGGGATAGACATTAAATACAATAAGAAAGTGTGAACCCTGAGAAAGAAGACACCTACTAAGAGGGGCTCCTGGTGGTTAACTGGGCTCAAATTACCCCAGTACTCCCTGCCCCCAACCACATACCAAAAAACAAACGGAAAAACAAAACAGCCTAGCAGCCATTTCTACACAGGGGCCTCTCATGAAAACTGCACTGCAGGGAGAAAACTGCTCTGAGCTACCTGCCTCTGCACTGTTTCTGCCTTCTGAGCCAGCCCCTGGGAAGGAGGTCCTGGATCGCTATTTCAGTCATAAGGACCCAGGCTCGCCCCTCCAATGAGTGTTGCACAGCTCCAACCAACCAGAGTGCCTTATTCTGACCAATCGGGATAATGCCTTTTGGGCCAATCAGACTGTGAGGATTTGGAGTCTCAAGGGTGGGGACTTCTTCCATATAAGCCAGCTCCCCTCTGGCTGAGAGTGCACTTTCCCTTTTCCATCTGAGATTGCATCTCTCTGGCTGAGCTGAACCACTGAAGATGTCTCCCGGGGAGCAGAAGGGAGAAAACCAAAGCACAGCATAGACCACCAGCATAGTACAAAGCAGACTGTCAAGGAGTGGAGCAGAGCTGTCTAGCAGGGAGGGGCTGGCTCCAGCTGCCTGGCCCCAGTGTCACCTCACAGCTTTGCTGTTTTCACAGCTGTGCTGTATCTCAATTGAGCTGTTTTGCACTGAATAAAGTTTTTTTTTTTTTCCACCACACCCCAAACTGGGGATTCCTGTTGGTGTTGAGTTGGTGCTGACCATTGTTTGAGAAAAGGTATTGCTGTAGTGTATTAGCAGGTGATAGATAAAAGTTGTAGAGAAAAAGAAAGTAGGCAAGAGGGATAGGAATGTTAGAGATATGTGCACTTTCATCTATTTATTTGTTATTTTTTAAAAATATTTTTTCTTTATTGATTTTAGAGAGAGAGGAAAGGAGAGGGAGAGAGAGAGAGAAACATCGACAAGAGAGAACATCAATTGGCTGCCTCCTGCATGCCCCTCCTGGGGATTGGGCACACAACCTGGGCATGTGCCCTGACTGGGAATCAAACCGGTGACCTCTTGGTGCATGGGTTGACACTCAACCACTGAGCCACACTGGCCGGGTTGTTACTATTTTTTAAATATATTTTTATTGATTTTTTTAGAGAGAGGAAGGGAAAGATAGAAACATTGATCAGCTACCTCCTGTATACCCTCTACTGGGGATCGAGCGCTCAACCCTAAACCAGGACCCCTCAGTCCCTGGGGCGCTCAATCCACCGAGCCACACCAGCCAGGCAGTGTGTGCACTTTTAAAGAGCATGACTGGGAAGGATGTGGTGAGAGGTGAGCAAAGACTTGACGGAGGTAAGGGGGCATAGAAACATTTTGAATAGGCCCTAAAGTAGAGGTATGCCTGGTGTATTCCCAGAACTCTGTAGAGGGCCAGAGGGCCTGAACTAGAGTGAATGGAAGAGTCGAAGGTAGTAAAATCAGACAGAGAGCTGGGTCCAGATCACATAGAGCATGCAGGCCATTGTAAGGACGTGGATATTCACTTTCTGAGATGATATCCATTTACAGGCTTTTGAGTAAAGGAGTGAGACATGATTAGATACATACTGTAAATAAAAACATCAATGGCTACTATGTTCAAAACAGTCTAAATAGATAAAGAGTAAAAGCAAGAAGACCAATTAGGTCACTCTTTAAAAATCCAGTTGAGAGAAAGTGGTGTCTTAGACCAGGGTATTGATAAGAAATGATTGGACCTGAATGTCTATTTTTAAATTTTTATTTTGGTACAATTTTAGATTTATGGAAGAGTTGCACAGGTAGTACACAGAGTTTCTTTATGCCAGTGTTTCTCAAACTCAGCGCTGTTGATCTTTTGGACTGGATAATTCTTTGTTGTGGGAATTGTCTTGTGCTATAGGATGTTAAGTAGCATCCCTGGCCTATATCCAGTGTCATCCTTTCAGTTGTAAAAATATAAAATGTATCCAGACATTGCTAAATGCCTCCATGGTGTAAAATTGCTCCTATTATATCCATTGCCATACACTCTTCATCCTGTTTCCCCTGATGTTAACATAACAGTATCATGGTACATTTATTTTATTAAGCTAAGAAATCAATATTGATATAGTGCTTCATCAAACTCCAGATTATATCTATATTTCACTGTCCCCCCCCCAGTAATAGAATTTTTCATTCCATTATCCAAACCAAGATACCACATTGCTTTTATTTGTTAAATCTCTTTTATCTCTTCCAGTGTATGACACTTTCTTAGTCTTTCCTAGTCTTTTAATGACCTTGATACTTTTTTTGTGGGGGTGGGTGGTTCACCATTCCTGGAAGCATTGCAATACTGGGTCAATGTGTGGAGTGGATGGAACATGATCCTATTTCATCTACCTGCTCCAAAAATCCATTTAATATGTTGTCCTCAGGTAGAAGATGTATCAAACATTAAACTGATAAGAACAGATAACTGCACATGATCTTAGCAAAAGGCCAAGAGGTGATTGACCTTGATACTTTTAGAGAGAACTGGTCAGTTATTTTGTAGGATGTTTCTCAGTTTGGTTTGTCTGATTTTTTTTCTCATGATTAAGCTGTGGTTATGGTTTTTTGGGGAAGAATATCACAGAAGCAAACTGCTCTTCTTATCAGGCTGTATAGGAGATAATGTGATATAAACAAATCAGTGGTGGTGGCTTTCTTAAGGTGGTTTCTGCCAGGTTCTTCACTGGAATGATATTTTCCCCTTTCCATACTCTGTTTTTTTGGAAGCAAGCCACTAAGTCCAGGGGAGGGGAATTGAACTTCACTTCCTGGAGGGAGGAGTATTAAAGAATTTGTGGACATACATTAAAACCACCACAGTAATTGATAAGTATTTTGGGGATATACTTTGAGGCTTTGCCAATATCCTGTTTCTGCTCACTAATTTGAGCATTCATCAGATCTTGCCTGCAGTAATTACTGCTATGGTATTCTAAAGGTATGTTTTTATTTTCCTCATTCTTACTTGATTAATTGGAATTCTTCTGTAAGGAAAGCTTGTCCCTTCTCATTTATCTATTTAATCTGATATATCAGTTTCAATTTATGGATGCTCATTTTATTCTTAGGTTTATAATTCAATGTTGTTATTATTCTGTTGCCCAAATTATACCAGCTTTGGCCATTGGGATCTCTTTTATGGTGACATCTGTGGTGTTTTTGACATGCTCCTATCCTTTATGTATAACATATACATTTTCTTTAATGTTCGCCACTCTGCCATGCTTCTTTTTAAAAAGCAAAACAAAACAATTTTAGTGTTTTTGGAGAAAGAAGAAGGGAGAGGGAGAGAAAGAGAGAAAGATCGATTGGCTGCCTCCTGCATGCCCCCTACCAGGGATTGAGCCCACAACCTGGGCATGAGCCCTGACCAGGAATCAAACCAGCAACCTTTTGGTGCATGGGGTGATGCCCAATCAAGTGAGCCACACCGGCCAGCGCTATGTATATACGTGCCTCAGGCTTATCCTGTATTTTTTCTGCCCCACCCCTAGAGTTAATTCTCTAAGAAACCCTGGTTCCCTCTATATAATAGAGTGGTCCAGATCTGGGTGCTGGGTGTGCCTGTTGCCACTGGGATGTCACTGCTGCTAGGTGCTGTTAGAAGACAAAGCTAGGAGATATATGTATGTGTGCTAATCTATGTATACACACATATCTATATTTATTTCTCTATATAAATATAGGAATGCATTCATACTGACACGTCTCATTTTGACTGGGTATGTTTTGATCCACCTGGGTTTGTTGTTGGATTAGAAGTGGAATGTGAAAAGAGGAGTCAAGAATGACTCCAAGATTTTTGGCTTAAGCAACTGGAAGGATGGAGTTATTAACAGAGCAGGCTTCTGGGGAGAGTTCAAAAGTGCTGTTATAGACTGGCCAAGTTTTTGAGATGTCTAATAGATATGCTAATAGAGATGTCAAGTCAGCAATTGAAGATATGAAGCTGGAGTTTATAAGAGAATGGTCCAGATTGGATACATTTGGAAACTGTCAGTATACATGAGATCTCCTGAGGAGTAAGTGTAGATCAAGAAGAGGTTGAAGGCCCTGGTTGGGTGGCTCAGTTGGTTGGACCATTGTCCTGTACACCAAAAGATTGTGGGTTTGATTCCTGGTCAGGGCACATACCTAGGGTTGCGGGTTGTTTCCCCCATCAGGGTGCATACGGGAGGCAACTGATTGATGTTTCTCTCTCACATCAATCTCTCTTTACCTCCCTCGCCCCCTCCTTCCCTTCCTTGCTCTCTCTCTAATATATTATATATATATTTATTAATAAATATATCCTCAGGTGAAAAGAGAAGAGGTTGAAGGAATGACCTCGGGGGCATTCCACTCAGACAGATTAGAAAGAGTAGTCCTATAAAATGATAAGGATTAGGTTTGGCAATCGGGTGGATTTCATATCCATCCTAATAAATGTTTATTCAGTATCTATTATTTGCAAGAAACCAGGTTGTTTTGGGAGTTAACATTACTCCCTTTGTAAATTTAAAATTTAGGATGAGACAAATTACAGACTGAAAGAAAATAACAGTGAAAGGCAAATGCCAGATAATGGTACAAATGTACTAGAGAACCATGTTAGAGGACATGAACATAAATTCAAAATGTGCCAGCTACATATAAACACTGATGTGAGCATGTGTCAGTCAAGAAACTTGTCAAGGTTCCATGCACACACTAGTAATTAGCAACAAACAGAAGCTTTCTCTATGTTGACTTGGTTTTTAGGTTATTTCAGATCTTGATCCCCTGCCATTATAAGTCTTGGGTTGGTAATTGTGTGCCTATGGTCAATTGGCTATCAACTGACTATCAATTAAGCCACCCTGAACTGTTTCTGTTGTACTTGACATTTTAACTTCTGTCTCTCTGCTGCCTTTCTACAAACAGCAGGACTTAAGACTCCTTCAAATAAAATGTTTCCATGTAAAACCAAGCAGAACTAACCTTATTTGCTTTTTTTCTTTTTTAAGATTATCTTTATTGTTGAATATATTACAGATATCTCTTTTTTTTCCCTCCCCTTGACCCCCTCCTGCCCAATCCTGCCTTCCTCCTGCTTTCCCTACACTATTGTCTGTGTCTGTTGGTTATGCATATATGCATATAAGTTCTATGGTTTCTCTTTTCCAACCCCACCTCCCCCTTCCCTTTGAGGTTCATTAGCCTAGGAACGAATTTGTGCTTCCTAATCCCTTCATCTTTTTCACCCAACTCCCTTCCCATCTGGCAACCAACAAAAAGTTCTCTGTATGAGTTTGTTTCTGTTCTGCTTGCTCATTTTGTTGTAGAGTAAATTGTTGATAGATATGTATTTATTGCTATTTTATTGTTCATATTTTTTTATCTTATTCTGCAAGAAGACCCATCAATATTTCATATAATACCAGATTGGTGGTGATGAACTCCTTTAGCTTTTTTTTTGTCTGGGAAATTCTTTATATGGCCATTGATTCTAAATGATACCTTTGCAGGATAGAGTAATCTTGGTTGTAGGTCTTGCTTTTCAGCACTTTAAATATTTCTTGCCACTCCCTTCCTGCCTGCAAAGTTTCTTTTGAGAAATCTTCTGACAGTCTTATGGGAGTTCCATTATAGGTAACTAACTGCTTTTCTCTTGCTGCTTTTAAGATTCTCTTTTTGTCTTTAACTTTTTGCATTTTGATGATGATGTGTTTTGGTGTGGACCTCTTTGGGTTCATCTTGTTTGGGACTCTTTGTGCCTCCTGGACTTTTATGTCTGTTTTCTCCACCAAGTTAAGGAAGTTTTCTGTCATTATTTTTCCAAATAGGTTTTCAATTTCTCGCCCTCTCCCCCCTCCTTCTGGCATTCCCATGAGGCGAATATTTGTACGCTTTAAGTTGTCCCATAGGCTCCTTACTGTCCTCATTTTTTTTGGATTCTCTTTTCTTTTTACTGTTCTTATTGCATGATTTTTGCTTCCTTATATTCCAAATCAATGGTTTGCTTCTTGGTTTCATCCACCCTGCTATTGATTCTCTGTAAGTTATTCTTTATTTCAGTTAGTGAGTGCATCCTTCATTTCTGACTGGTCCTTTATTATGCTTTTGAGACCCTCAGTAAGTTCATTGAACATCCTTATAAGAATAGTTTTGAACTGCATCTGTTAGATTGCTTATCTCCATTTCGTTTAATTCTTTTCCTGGAGTTTTGTTCTGTTCTTTCATTTAGGACATGTTGCTTTTTTTCCATTTTGGCTGCCTCCTTGTGTTTGTTTCTATGTAGTAGGTAGAGTTGCTATGTCTCTTAGGCTTCCTTGGGTGGCCTTTTGTAGTAGGTGTGCTGTAGGGTCCAGTGGCACAGCCTCCCTGGTCATCCAGGTACAGCCCTGGGCCCTCGAGGTACAGCCCTTGTGTGGACTTTACATCTGTCTGTTGTACTTGAGTCTTGATTGCTGTTGGAATGTCTGTGGGAGGGTTTTACTCAGGCTGATCAGCTGCAAGGATTGGCTGTGCCCACTAACCACCAACTTCTGATTACCTTTGATGATCAGCTGTGCAGGGGTCCACCAAACAGAGTAAGACTTACTTCATCAGGGCTCTGGTACCCCCTGAATCCATTCCTTGAGTGTGTCACTTGTGGAGGTGATTGGGTGCTGGTGCTTTGACATGGTCTGAAGATGTCCACTGGGTGTACTGGCTCTGGGGCAAGGTCAGCCACTGTCTGTGTTCTACCCAGGGCCACCAGGCATAAGCTATAAAGCGATCTGCCAATGGCTGCTGCTTGTGCTGGGCTTGGAGGTGCCCAGGGGAAGCCCAGCTGTGAACCAAGGCTGGCTGCTTCTAGTGCCAGGCCTGGGGCTACTTAGTGAGAGATATAGGGTTCCCTGTGGCCAAATGCTGCTCGTTTGAGACAATTTAGGAAAATCTGAAACAAGAACTCAAACAGGCCAATCCTATGGTAAAGCCACTGGAAACAGTTTGGGTGGGCCTGAAAGTTGGGTGGGACAGGTCCTTAGGGAATCACCAGGGCGGGACAAACAGTATGAGCCAGATTGATGGAGTCCAAGAAATGGCAGCAGTCTGCTGGCTTCATGAGGGAAGGGCTCATCAAAAGAATAAGGACCTCCACTAGCACATCTGTCCAGGAGAAAGCTGCCCCTCCAGTCCTTGCTCAGATGCTAAACAGCTTAGTTCTTCCTGGTATGTTTCTGGTGCCTTTCAAGCTGCCTCCCTCCACCTTGGAGCTTAGAGGTAGCGGTTCCCAGTAAGTCTGTGTGCAGGCCCTTCAGGAGGAACTGCCTGGGGCTCCAGCAGCCTTAGTTAGCCTCCCTCAGCCTCAGTTCTCCACTGGCTTTTACAGCCAGAAGATATGGGGACTTCTTTAATTTTGTAGTTGTAGGTCTTCCATTCAGCTTGACTTTAGGAGGTTTTTGACTGCTTTTTTATGAATGCTCTTAGGCATTTACATTTATCATTTGGTTATT